CTTTCTGTTAGTCCCACTGCAGCCTCCCATCTCCTTTAGTACAACCTGAAGCCATCTGCAGAAGTTGTGTTAAGGACAGAGATAGACTCAAGCTACAGAGGGCCAAAGAAAGAAGGAAAGGTGACAGAAGGATTAGAAAGGAGAACAAACAGAAGTATGGAACTTGCAAAGAGATAAGGAATCAGGGTAGCAAGTACATACCTGGAAACATATGGCTGGCACTCTACACTTTGGTTGCCAAATGATTTCATCACCTGATCCAACTTCTAGAGTCCAATCACCACCCTTTCCACTACAAATAAATCAGCCTTCAAGCTCATCTTTTAGAATGGGAAGGTCATTAAGACTGCACTCAAAGCTTTAGCCAACTACCTCTACCTTACAACAAAGATATGTTGCACCCTTTTGGATCTTATTTTATCTTTAAGAACCCTTTGATCCCTGATAATTATTTGTATTTAATATTTTTATTCCACCTTTCCTCCAAAAAGCTCAGAGCAGCACTCATTATTCTCTTCTTCCACATTTTACTGTAATAACAACTTTGTGAGGTAGGTTAGAGAGACTGATTGGCCCAAGGTCAACCAGCAAGCTTCAAGGGGGAGCTGAACTAGAGTTTCCCAGGTCTTAATTCTCTTGAACTGTTCTGCTCATAACAGAGGAATGTTATATAGATTAGAACTGTGAATAGTTGATTTGCATTTCTTGCAACATTTTTGTAGCATTCCTTTGTCCGTGGCTTTAACACTATGTAGAAATATGGAGTAAACATACAATCCCATTATTCTAGTGAAGCAAATGTGTATAAAGCTAGCTTGGTGTTGTAGGTAAGGGTGGCCTCTAAATGGATCCTGAGATTCTAAAATGATATTATAATCCTGGATTGGAAAGTCTTCAATTTTTTGCTTTTCCTAAAGGGGTAAGGAGTCCCCAAGCCTACAAATATATTTATTTGAAACATTAGCTATCTTTTTCCCTTGCCAAACTCAAGGTGACTTACAATATAATGATTGTAAGTAAAAGTAAAGGTTTCCCTTGCTTGAAAGCCAGTCGAATCCAACTCTAGGGTTGCGGTTCTCATTTCTGTTTCCAAGCCGAAGAGCCAGCGCTGTCTGAAGACGTTTCCGTGTTCATGTGGCCAGCATGACTAAATGCCAAGGTGCACAGAACGCTGTTACCTTCCCACAGAAGCGGTACCTATTTATCTACTTGCAATTTCTTGCTTTCGAACTGCTAGGTTGGCAGGAGCTGGAACCAGAGAAGGGAGCTCACTCCGTCATGCGGCACTTGGGTCTCGAACGGCTGAACTACCGACCTTCCAGCCTGCAGTTCAATGTCATAACCACTTGAGCCATCGCAGCTCCTGTAAATAACACTATTGTAAATAACACTAAAAACAATATAAATAAAACAGCAACCATAAAAACACATAAAAGGTCACGTTAAGTTTTTTTTTAAAAAAACCCTCCAGTTAAGACTGCCAATAAAAAAAGAACTAAATCAGTCAAATGCAATCCTCAATAAAACTGTCTTCAATTGCCTCCTGAAAATCAACAGTGAGCAGGCTACATGCACCTCCCTGGGGAGGTTATTCCATAACTGTGGGGTTGCCATTGAAAAGGCCCTCTCTCATGTCCCCCCCCCCGATGAGCTTCTTTGTTTAGTGGGTCGGTCAGGAGGGCTCTCCTTGTGATCTTAGATTAAGCACCTCATTGTCAAGAATAGATTAGAGTCTGAAATATGACTAGAATTTGTGACAGCAACATACAGCAACTGCTACATACCCTTACCCTGATGCTGGAGGAGTCACAGTGGCTCTTCCAAGCCTTCCTGATATGGAATACATAACCACAGAAACCCATGTTTTAAGAAATGCATATAAAAGAGACAACCCTCTAATCCAGTGTATGTGTTCAGATTGGTTGGAAAAGCTAGATTTCTCTTGTTTTTTAATAGCACTTGCGGCACACACACACTGTAATGTTGGGAAGATGGCTGACTGTTTATTTTGAAAAGGACATGCTCAGGTATGAGGGCACAGTGTCCACTAATGGAGTCGATTTGAAAATACTATTAGCCTCTCTTGAGAAGATGGTGGCCCTAAATGTCAGCAAGTGAAAAAGAATTATAGCAGCACCAAATTCATTGTAAAACTTGGTGGCCCATTTATGGGAAAGCTTACATTAAAAGAAATTGTTGGACATGGTATCTCTCGGCAAGTGCCAGTAATGAAAACATCTTAATATACATGAAGCATTTTCTTTCTTAGAGGTCCTTAGATCACACCCAGACCTTTTGGCCTTGAGAAAGAAACAAATTCCTTCCCAGTTTCCATTTGAAACATTTATTTTTGGGAAATACATATTAAACACTATTATTTATATAAAAACAGGACTAAATTTGCCATAATGCATACAACCCACCTACAGGCCATTTTTATAGATTCAGTTGAATGTTTTAGTCTTGTTCAGTAAAACCTTTCCCTCAGAAAAAGTACAATATAAGAAGAGAAAGCATTTTTGTCTTGGTTTTGCTGGCTGAGATACTGGATACAATAAAGTTTTGCTAAAGTGAATCCCCCCTCCCCTAAAAGAAACACATTCTCCCTTACCCTTTTCATAGACTTTTGAACACTTGAAATACATATATATTTAGTTAATACACTTTTTATTTTGCTAAAATATAGCAAGTCAGCATGTAACAAAAATAATTTTCCTCAGCTTAACACAACTCAAAAAAGATTCCTACACTTTTCAGTTTGGGAGAGACAACACATAAGGTTAGCTGGGCAAGAATGTATGAGAATCAAAGAATGTTTGTGGGTATGTTCATTGGGGTATGAATTTTAAAGAGCAAAAAAGATGTTGGAAAGCTTCATTTATGGGGAAAAGCAATTGTAGGGAGCAGTATGAAAACTAGCAAGGTCACAGCAGGTTATGGAAGGAGATAGGTTCACATGCAGGTATCCATGAACACCTTGCAAGAAGAAGGGGTCATGTACCTTCATCCCACTGAGGTACATTAGAAGAAGAAGAGACTGGATTTATACCCCGCCGTTCACTTGGAGTCTCAGAGCAGCTTACGAACTCCTTTCCCCTCCCCTCCCCACAACAGACACCCTGTGAGGTAGGTGGGGCTGAGAGACCTCTTTCAAGAACTGCCCTTTCAAGGAAAGCTCCTGTCAGAACTATGGCTTGCCCAAGGTCATCCAGCAGCTGCAAGTGGAGGAGTGGGGAATCAAACCCGGTCCTCCCAGATTAGAGTCCACACAGTTAACCACTACACCAAACTGGGCCTGAGGCATATTTGCCAGCTAAGAGTGAACAAGCAACATGAAAACGCAAGTTTCTCTTTTATGAATGCCAGGAATCAAAAGATTTTTGAAAGCTCCACAAGAGGCAGCATGGCCAGAGTTTTCTATTTTTGCAAAGGGGGTACAAATGAATCAGAATATGGCACAAACCTTCTATGGAACTGGACACCAAACATCATATTCCACAGAATAGAAATCTCAGAAAAGCTAGGACCTACTGGCTCTTTGTTGTATGAAACTATTCCAAATGGGGCTTATGTCGTTTTAAGAACTCCGTATCAGCTCAGTATTGAGAAAATGCACTGTTATTCTCCACTGTTAGGGACAGAGGGTGTGCAAATACCAGATTCAGTTTATACACAGTGTGGCATTTCATATGGAAGTGAACATGTATGACCTGTCTAGACATGAACACCTGGGGAATTGTAGCCACAGTGAAACCCAGAATTTGCACAATGAAAAAAAAATTAGCCTAGTCAAATGCCACAAGCCTTTCTAGGCTTATTCAAAGATTAACATACAATTTCAGATAACTGGAGCCTTCTTCATTGGGCTTGCAGAGATCGTCTGCCTCTGATACAGGAAAGCATACACAAAACATTTGAAGAGAAGTCTGAGTCAAATAGATCACATAAACTTCTAGGAAGGCAGCAGACTAGGGACACGAGCCCCGAAGAATGGGAAGAGGAGGTGCACCTGACGAGAGCAGCTCCTTATGACAGGAGCCCTCCCACCCTTCTCTAGTAAGGAAGGAGCCCTCCCTGCTATTGCTGGCTAGTGAAATCTGGAAATGAAGGGGATGGAGTTAGGGAAAGAAAAAAACCTCCACACTAAAGCACACATGCAAACACCCCTATAAAACACAGTAAAGCTTTGGCACTAGGTCAGTCGTGTGGCTCAGAAACATCTCTATTGACCTGAATCACTGAAATCAAAGGCAGCAGGTGAGGCTTCTCCTCCAACTCCTTCCCACACAGTGTCGAAAAGACTATGGCACATCTAGCGGAGACTTTCTGGACTAAAAAGGACTGCCTCATTTAGAGGAGGACCACCTCATTCAGAGCAACCTCGCCCATTTTAGGATGTCCTTGACATGAATGATGGTGCTCTACTAGGAGTGAGGGCGCATGGACAGGATATGAGGTGGCCTCCTCTCTCTTGAGCAGCCAGGCCTGTACTCATGCCTACTGCAATACAATGGCCGGGAAAACCTCCCAACCCAACCCCACAAGGCAGAAGTGTATGAAAATTTACCCAGTGGTTGAATTTACAAGACGACAGTGTTTTGGAAGGAGGCTTTACCTTGGCTTTCAAGAGTATATGAGGGTGGTACTATCAATGGGAGTTCCTCTTTCACTGAGCTCCAGAAAAAGGGTGCTGGTCTATCGCATAAAGGATCTATCCCAGGGTGGGGTGGGGGGCACAGCTAATGCTGAACATCAAGGATGGCCTTGCGCTGCTGAGATTTTAGCTCGATCCCTCCCTCCTTTCTCCTCAATGGTTTGGTCACCCATCACTACACCCAACTGCCTACTACATGGAAGCACAGAATAGATGCTTCATGCCACAAAGGCTGGCAAAGAGATGCTACATTTATTACAGAAAAAAATATTGTTATTTGGTCAGTTATATGTATGTATGTATATATACACACACACACACACACACACACATATACATCCACGCATTTTAAAGAAAGAAAACAGTGGGACAGAGAGAGAGCTGGGTCCTAGCTAGGTCATGAGTGTTACATTTCATTGGCCACCAAATCCTCCTTGTTGACCATGCCATTGGAGAGCATGTTCTGGCTTTCATTCAAGCGTTTGACTCTGTAGGCTTCAAAATGGATGCTGCTGGTAATGTCCTTGATGTTTTGCATGTGTGTCCTACAGGAAGAAGGACAGGGCAATTAAGAAGTTTTGTGCATCACACAGTGAAATCCAACAGCAACTTGATACAGATGAAGACAATACCCGATTACATGCTGTAGGTGTGAGAACCAACTTTGCCAAAAACCATGTTACTGCCAAGACAGGACAGGGCTAGATGGAACAATGGTCTGACTCTGTACAAGGCAGCACCTTCTATTCACGGATTCCTCCAGCAGGGCAAAGCTGGCATGGGAAGTAATTGTTATGCCAGTCCCACCCGACCTATGCAGTAAGAACTCCACCACTAAAAAGTGTTGGGAGTCGCCACTGTAGGTAATATAGTCTCCTAAAACAGATGTGTGTATGTACTCTACACTTCAATCCTAGAAGAAAAACAAATTGAGGCGTCAGCAGTGATTACTCCCTACGCCCCTGTTAGAAAGGTGCTACCAACCTGATCAGAAGATCTCGCAAGTAAGCAAACTCGCAATGTGTTGTGTTCTCAACTGTAAAAGGCAGGACACAGTGTTAGAAGTTAGCATAAGATCAATGCATCAAGTTTCAGAGAAAGACAGGGCTCATAAAGTCTGGTCCGAGCACAGAGAACTTGCAGCTCTCTTGAACACATTTCAGGCCACTCAAGAAAACTGACACTTAAGGATCTAGCTTGAAGATGCAAAAAGGATCTCTACAGGCTTCAGCCACTAATGTGCCTTGGAGCTTCCTGCTGTACACAGAAAGTGCCAAGCGCCTAGTGTCGAAGATGACTCTAAGGGCTTTGTCTTGTGTCTGCATTGCTGTTTTCATGAATTACCATAGACTGTCCACAGGGGGGAAGCCAAAGGCTTAAAATGAACACATTCTCCTACTGCTTTCTGGAAATGTTTTTCCTCAAAAGTAGGATTTTTCTATGGAAGAAAAATCACAAAATGCTAACAAAAACAAAATAGTGCAGTGTATTTCTTTGTATTTTCAACAGTGCTGGGAAGGAAAAAAAGGTAATTCAATGTGACCATGAGGGATGCACAGATAGCTCCAATGAGATGTTATTAAATTATCTGAACTCCATGCTGGCAGCCCCACTACCTCCAGTTACACAACAGTGCAGGCGATGGCTGCCCTCTGTATTTCAGTTTCAGAAATGGAATTATAACACGGCTAGTGCTAGCCAAATCCAGTGGAGCAGGATCTGTCTATAAAACCCTTCTTAAGCAGTAAGTAACCTGGGCAAGCCCATTTGAAGACAGAAAATACTTTCCATGACTTCTGAGAGCACAGAGCAGAAGACAGGCAAGCAACAGAACTGAAAGCAGCTCCAAGATTTTTAATTTTAACAATGCCAGCAAAAGTAACTGTGGGTCAATTTCTCCTTTGTGTTATAAACAAATGCATATTACTAAACCAGACATGTTCCTTTCTAACCTTCCTGTATGATGAGGAGCAGCACATACATGGAGAAAATAATGCTCAGATTCCATATTCAGTGCTAGGTCACTTCTCCACCCTAGCCCCTTGGGCCGAGGAATCCACAAGTCTGTCTCTAGATCCACACTAAGGCCCACACCAGATCATGATTTTAAGCACAACGACTAAGTGCAGAAGCTGCAGAACTCACTGACAGAGAAGCAAATTCAGTGAGTTTGATTAATTGAAAATTGTTCATTCTCTTACTGCTGGCATCCTTTTGTTCCCTGTTGTTATTTTACACACACACACACACACACACACACACACACACACACACACACACACGTCTATAATCTATCTTATCTACATTCCAAACATTTGGCCACATTCAGAGAGCGTGACAGACAAGAGGTTTGTCCACAATGGGCACAAACATAACTTGCTCCCACGTTCACACACTTTTCACCTGGCTGAAGTGGAGTTTTCCTCCCCATAAACCAGGATCCTAAACAATGAATGGGGGTGGAGAGACAAGCCAAATGCTTGTATTCAAATAGCATCATGAACTGGAGCTCGACTGAAGCCTTCCCAAACCTGGAAGTCTTCCACCTTGCTCTGTGTGTCAGGAAGAGAGTTAAAGGACCAGGCGGTTGGCTACATAAAAGGCCACTACCTGAAACCCCAGAGAGCTGTTGCCAGTCTTAGTAGACCACACCGAACTTGACGGACCGATGGTCTTGTTAAGTATAAGGTGCATCCATGTGTGAGAGGGGAGGAGGACTGAGGCAACAGTGCAAACACTGCAAAAAGTTGTGTTCATGCCCATCACAGAGCAACCTCTGTCATGATGCTATGAAGTGCTCTGAAAGCACTATAAAATAATCCATGTTTACTGGGTTGGCTCCAGTGATTCACAGGCACAAGGATAACGGATCTTTCCCTTGTTCCCCTCCCCCAGGCAGTCCTTTCTGACCCTGGGAGTCACAGGAGTAATAACCAGAATGGCCAGGGAAGCTGCACGGAGGAAGAGAAAAGGGGTGGAATCACCCATCTCTTCCCTCAGCTAAAGGTGTAAGGGAAAGATCTGCTGGGTCCAACCATACAATTGTTAGAATGGACTCACGCAGTATCTGCATTTCTGCTGTTCCTACCAGGGTTTCTTGTGATGTTCTTGGAATCACTGCGCCCTTGCTTTGTGACAGCAAGTGTGAACAATAGTGTTACACCGGGGCCTTGAATAAGTTTCAGAATGTCATAGCACAAGTAAGAGAACTTCACTTCAGCACACAAAAACCAGAGCTTTGTATCTTTTCTAGCCAATAGCTGCCAATCACAGCGCAGACAGGAGCTGAAGACTTGGTTAAAACTCTGAGCAATGACAGTCAAGCAACGTCGTGCTTCACTTCTAACTATTCCAGCAATTTTGCTGTTGTAAAGCAGGATGTTCCATCCTCAGTTCTATTCAGTCTGCGACTGAGAGAGGCAGCAGGCAGCAGCCCTGCACTCAGGACACCAGCAGCTGAAAAACCCACCATCTCCACAGGATGCCACCAACCAAAAGCAATTCCTGTTTGCATTTCAGGGAGACATGTGTGAGCACTAAATACAGACACTATGGTTCTCATTCTGAGCAACAGAGGGCAGCAAAGCACACTCCCACACAACAGGCAAAGTATACAGACCTTGCAGTCTTGCACATTTCAAACTGTCTTTTGAGGGCAATTTAAAGCTGTAGCTATTGGTGCAGAACCAACATGCAGAAACGACAGCTCTTACCTTCAATTGTTCCCCATTTTGTTTTCCTTCCCAGAATTCGTCTGCCATTAATCTGGTATTCCTGATCACTGCCCACCACCGCAAATGGAATCATTTCCTAAAACAAAGTTGTAAAATTGCAAGAGGAATCACACCTTCCCATCAAAAGCACATTCAAGGTTGCAAGGAGGGTTGGTTACTTTACTTGCCCTAATTTCTGTGACCTTTGGCAGTGGCTTCACCTGTTCGGTCAACAATTTCTCCCTAGGTATAAGTGCTAAGGAGCTCATGGCCAGGCAAACCAGACAAGCTGTTCTAAGCTGGGTTCTAGATTTCCCCCCATAAAGAATTTCCCTTTTGCCCTTAACGGGGGGGAGGGGAGGAGTCTTTGGGTTGTTATAACAATACTATTGAGAATTTCTTAGGAAGGATGTTAGGTGCAGGTCAAAAACCTTATTTTGAGCACATGCTGAGCAGGTGGCAAGATATGGCTGCCCCACTTACTCTAAATTTCTCATTTGTTAGCCGGTCTTCAGAGTCCTCATCAAACTGTTTCTGTGGATAGACATCAATGCCATTGGCAAGAAGATCTGCTGTGATCTAAGAAAAAAGAAACAGGAATGGAACATGTTCACTGTAGATACAAAGAGCAACAAGGAAGCCTAACTGAAAAAAGAGCTTATCAAGAGCAGTAAAAGGACTGCAGTGAATTCCACATGTGGTCTGTGAAAAACGGAGTCACTTCTGTGCACCTTGGGCAAGACTTGTCCAAGGCATCCCAGCAAGTCCCAGACAGAAGAACCTGGGAACTCCACGTGACTAATAAATCCTATTTCTCCACCCTTACAGTGCTCAAAGCAGTGCTTTAGCCTCACAACTCTGCCTGTTAGGTCAGGCTGGCCAACAGTGATCTGCCTTAAGGCAGCCTCAGGATTTTCACAGCCATGCAAGCTCTTGAAGTAAGATTCCTATGGCCAAATTGTAGGCCAACAGTCAAGTCTCTTTTCAGAACTGTTTTCCGCAGACTGAAAATGCTCCCATTAAGGAGTTCTCACCACTTCCACATACTATTAACTGTATACATGTTCAGTAGTAAGTGGTCGAAAACTTGGATGACTGGGGGAATTTCTTCTGTAGAGCTCACCTATATTATCCAGATGTACAAGTTTCGGCCATTGCATGCAGCCCCACAAAAATAATTTCCAGTGCTGCTCTTAGGCCTTCTGATCCAAGGGCAGCAGTGATAGGAAACAGATCCACAGGGTCATCTAAACTTGATTTCTCTGCTTAGATTCTGAACTTTAAGGTGCTGTTCCATCAGAATAGTAGCACCTTTCCAGTGGACTGGCTGTTCTGTCTGAGGATGGGATTTCCTGATTTGCCCCTCCTGCCAGGGATTCCTAAATTTCTCTCAACACCTGCCCGGGATGGGGGGGGGGGCAGGGAAATATGTCTTTTAGCGTGGCTCTGCTCAAACAACTTAAAATCCAAGATACTGGGTGGGTCAGAGGAAAGCAGTGCAAGGTAAAAACAATGAAGGCTGAAAGGGGCAAATAGCCAGAAAACTAAGAGAACAGACATCTGTGCATACAGGCCATCTAATCCAACCCCCTGCTCAATGCAGGATTAGCCTAGAGCATCCCTGACAAGTGTTTGTTCAGCCGCTGCTTAATGACTGCCAGTGAGGGGGAGCTCACCACCTCCCTAGGCAGCTGATTCCACTGTTGCACAACTCTGACTGTAGAAAAGTTTTTCCTAATATCCAGCTGGTACCTTCCTGCCAGTGCCAGATTTACGCATAAGCTAAATAAGCTACAGCTTAGAGCCTCACAATCTGCTGGGGCCTCGAATAAAAACACAATATAAAAAGTGATTTCAAATATTAAAAAGGTGTATATATTTTAAATATTTCTGTGACCAAATGATGTAATTTAAAACAGTAGGGGGCCTCTGGGTTTTGTATAGCTTAGGGCCTCAGCAAGTCTAAATCTGGCCCTGCTTCCCGCCCTTAATTTAAACCCATTATTGCAAGTTCTATCCTCTGCTGCCAACCGGAACAGTTCCCTGCCCTCCTCTAAGTGACAGCCCTTCAAATACTGAAAGAGAGCAATCATGTCCCCCCAACCTCCTCTTCTCCAGACTAAACATTACCAAGTTCCTCAGCCTTTCCTCAAAGGGCTTGGTCTCCAGGCCCCCAATCATCCTAGTTGCTCTCCTCTGCACCCACTCCATTCTGTCCACATACTTTTTGAAGTGAAGCATCCAGAACTGCACACAATACTCCAGGTGCAGGTGGACCAATGCAGTGTACAGCGGGACTATGACATCTTGCGATTTGAATGTTACGCCTCTGTTGATACACCCCAAGATCACATTAGCCTTTTTTGTCACTGCATCACACTGGCTGCTTATATTTAATTTATGTCCACCCGTACCCCAAGTGCTTATTCACACACACTGCTATTCAGAAGTGTATCCTCATTTTTGTTACCCAGATGTAGAACTCAGCATTTATCCTTGCAAAACTGCATCTTGTTCACATCCGCCCGCTTTTCCAGCGTGTTCAGATCTCCTTGAATTCTATCTCTATCTTCTGGTGTGTTTGCTGCTCCTCCCAATTTGGTGTCATCTGCAAATTTAATGAGTATCCCCTCCACACCCTCATCCAGATCATTTATAAAAATATTGAAAAGTACTGGGCCCAGAACCGAGCCCTATGGCACCCCACTGGACACCTCCCTCCAGTCAGACGAAATGCCATTGACAAATACTCTTTGAGTGCAGTTCTCCAACCAGTTCCTTATCTACCTAACTATCCTAGAGTCCAGTCCACAGTCCTCTAGTTCACGCATCAGAACATCATGGGGAACCCGGTCAAAAGCTTTACCGAAATCCAGGTAAACAACATTAACAGCATTCCCTTGATCCAGTAAGCTTGTCACTTAATCAAAGAAGGAAATGAGGCTGGTCCGGCAAGACCTGTTGGGGACAAATCTGTGCTGATAACCCCGGATTACCAAATTGTCCTTTAGATGATCGCAGATGGATCCCTTTAAAATCTGCTCCCTGATCTTCCATGGGACAGAGGTCAGACTGAATGGCCTGTAGTTTCCTGGGTCATCCCCCCCCCCTTTTAAAAAAAATTGGGATAACATCTGCCCTCCTCCAGTCCTGTGGCCCGTCACATTCTTAATTGCAGGGCTGAACATTTGGGGTTGCAGTGTCAGGCAGGAAAGTTTGACGGTAAGAAACAAATACCAACATGTTAACAGTCTGGAATACTCTCGTGCTATGTTGTTTCCATTTCCCCAGCAATTTTACTGGTGCATCTGCTTTAAAATCTATCTGGAAAAAGATTTGCAGGAGGGGAGCGGAAAAAAAGAATCAAACAGGAAACTATGTTTATGTTTCTCTCCTCTAAGAGCAGGAGAGCCAAAAGAAACATATGGAGACCAATAAAGCCTCTTCCCTCTTGTGAGCTGTGACTCAAGGAACGTGCAGGGCTCCTGGCTAGCTATTAGGAACTGGAGAGCTGTAGAATCAGAGGAGATCAGAAAATGCCATTGTCTGCTTACCCTTTGTTTGAAGTAGTCCCTCTCCTCTAGTGTTAAAGTGTCAGCTTTGGCAATGACAGGCACTATGTTGACCACTTTGCTCAGGCGCCTCATAAATTCAATGTCCAGTGGCCGGAGGCTGAAAGGGAGATGAGAAAGACTCTTAAAGTGAAAGGCAACTGAGAAAAACAGGTTGCTTACCTGTAACTGGTGACCTTCAAATGGTCATCTGTGCATTCACACCTGTTATTACACTCTGAGAGCTCTTACAATGTATTGTTATAATTATTTCTTAGGTTGCTTTTTAAGAAGTCAGAAGTGGTGGTGTTTAAATTCATTTTTCAGTATAAACTATTAGATGACCACATTCAATGAACTTGAATCGAACTTTGAGCTAAAAGCTAATTTGTTAAGCAGTATGTATGACCACCATCTCTTGGGTTTTTAGTGGGTTTTCTTTACTTTCTCCCATAGTATGCAGATCCTCCCCTTCCTAATTTCGTTGCAGTTTATAGAAAATGCAAATTGAAAAATCCCCTACGGGGGGCATAAAAAACAAACAAACAAGTTGACTTCTGGAGCTGGAGAAAAGAAGACAAAAGAGTTCTTAAATTCCCACCGAAGTAGAAGAGGCGCTGAGTATCTTTGAGGGGAGGACTCCCAATTAATTCCTCTTATTCCTGTCCGACATTCAGATACTCGGATATATCTTCACTGGTGAGTCTGTCTTTACTGCTTATCAGCTGTTGAAAGTTTCTGAGTCTGATTGCCATAAACAAAATGAGTGTTGGAAAAGCCCAAAATGCCTGAGAGATGGGGAAGGAATCTTTCCACTGGCAAGCAAACAGACCAAGATAGCTGATTTTTTTCCCCTGAGAGTGTTGCATATAATATCCCAACTTCAAACAAAGATGCAATTCTAGCTGAAGAAAAAGGGAGAGCCAAAAAACCAGAAGTTACAGCAAGAAAGGACTGTTACATATATCTTGGAATGTTTAAATGGAATCAATCAGAAGCTTGAGAAGTTGGTAGAGAGGAAGACTAGGAAATCTGGGAAGAGACAAAGTTCAGTGGCTGTGTAAGCTCTGCTAATATGCCACCAAATGTCTTCATCTCACCAAAGAGTAAAGAGTTCTCAGCAGATTCCCCTCTGTCACATAAAGTGAGTACATGAAAGCTCTAGACCCAATTTGATTCTCCAGCAAAAAATAAATAAATGTTTGTCAATTTGCAGAACCTGAGGTGGATTGCCTTTGTGGAATACAAAAAGGAAGGTGTTAAATCATCTGAGCCTATTACTTAAGTTGAAAATCTCTGGAATTGATTTGAAAGGGCTAGAAATAATTAGCCAACCAAATCAGATGCAGAGGGTCCTTCTCAGATTTTCCGGTGAGAGGATCCCATCTTTAATAATGAAACAGAGTGCAACTTTTAAGAGCAAGGGGATCTTCCCAGCCCGTACCTTTTTAAATACACTGAAACCTATACTGCTTTTGGTCAAGAAACATAAAGAGACTAAAGGGGGACAAGAACAGATCCCCCTGCTGCCTGATCTAATGGACCTCTCTCGTCAGGGAGAGGAGGTGCCAGTTTCGAATGCAGTCTGTGGGGCAGCTAAATCCTCAGATAAGTCATCCCCTTCAGTCTATGTGTATGAAGGAATAGATATTGACAACTCCTTGGAGGATGACCTGATAAAAACTTTTCTAAATTTCCCAAAAGAGATTCAAGGTGCAATAGTCAACAGACTGGGAAGCTACTGATGTTAGGGTATGATACCAGAAAACAAGAGGTGACTGCAGACAGATTGGAGGCTGCCAAAATAAGTCCTTACGAAAACAGCCATGACATGTCTTACCATATCTCTCCTTCTCCTCAACTGATCAGTTTAACCTCTACTACAGAAGTCCAACTTGAACTCAAGAGAAACTCAGAGACGTTAATACAAGCTGAAATCCATATGTCTTCAATAACGGCTGAGAATCTCCCTCTGAGCAGTAAGGAAGAGATTGTGTGGCCCAGCACAAGCCAAATAATTAAGAACGTATCAAGAGGTATGAGCAATGGGTCTGTATTTTATGACACCAACAGCACCCTTGAACAATTAACCAAAGGGGACTGACTCACAACTTCTTCTACACCATCGCCAGCTAAGTTTCCTACTACTTTGGATATTAAAATCATCTTTTGGAACGTGGCCGGCTGGTGATATAAGGCCAAGGATGTTGAATTTATTAGCTACCTCAAGCAGTTTGATGTCATACTAGTCCAAGAGACTTGGTACCCAGATTCAGCTCGAAGGGTATAAGTCCTATACTCTTCCTGCCTTCAAAAGTAATACAAGGGGTCGCTTCCAAGCAGGATTATCTACTTTTGTCTCCTCATATCTCTTCTCGGAATACATCACTTTACAGATGAATAAGCTCTGTGGCAGAGGCCATCAAGCTTGTCCTTGATACCTCTACTCTAACTTTGTGAATATATATGTACCATCCTCTTTAGACAATTCAACTCTTTCTCAATGTTGGGAACACTTTGCCACAATTATGGAGGAATTAGAGAGGAAATTTCCGTCTATTGAAATAATTTTAGTGGGTGATTTTAACACTAGAGTAGGGAGGGATTGCATATTTTTAAAGCTCTTGATGGTACTCAAGACAATACTCTTCCATGTAGTTTTTCATATCCAAGACACTCTAAAGATAGCTTTCTAAACCCAGCAGGTATATGTCTTGCCAGATTCTGCATGCAATACAATAGATTTTAGTTAAATGGTCTGATTGGCTTCCCAAACCCTGGAGAATTCACCTTTGTCTCCCTGAGGGGTTATAATGTAATTGATTATGTTTTAATTTCTCCCTCACTGAAACCGCACGTCAAAGATTTTACAATAGATGATTTTATTATTAGCGACCATTTCCCTCTCATTTTAAGTTGGCCCTCATACCTATCCTTCTTGTAACCTGATCTCACAATTCTCTGAAACCGATTTACTACCTAGAATACCTTGGAATGACCACATAATAGGGAAAACTCAACAACTTCTAAAATCTGGCCTTATTCTTTCCTGATAAGTGCATCTGACACTACTGCCTCTATATCAGTCTACAATTCTCTAATCCTCCGGTATATATAATTCTATTTTGGTCATGGACTCCCCTGAACATTCCAACATGCTCCAAAATCAGTTCGCTCTCTGATCTGTCATTCAGAGGGTCTCCCTATCCACTGGGCTGCTTTGCTTGAGTCCTGCCTCCAACATTCTAAACAGTTGGCTGTTCCTCTCCCCCCCCCCAGCCAGTCAGAACACAGAGGTCCTTTGCATATGTGACCTGATTCGCCTTTGCCTCGGAACACAGAGGTCGTTTGCAAATGCGGCCTCACTGGCCTTTCCCTCTAACATTCTAAACAGTTTGCTGTTGATGTTCTGAGGTAAAATAAATTTCCCCTTAGTGTCTGTTGGGGAAAACCATGGTTGCAAATCTCCAGGTGAGGGCTGAAGATCACTCAGAATTATAACTGCTTTCCAGATGGCAGAGATCAGTTCCCCTGGAGAAAATGGTGGACTCTGTGTCCTTATATCCTGCTGAGATGGCCCCTGTATGACAGCCAATGTGACGTAGCACTGATGTCCAGATGACCAAGATCAGTTCTCTTGGAGTCAATGGCTGCTTTGGGCAGTAGATTCTATGGCTTTATACCCTGCTGAGGTCCCTCCCCACCCAAAATCCTGCCCTCCCCAGGCTCTACCCCTCAAATCTACAGGCATTTCCCAACCCAGAGTTGGCAACCATGTAATCAGCTATGGAACCACTTTCCAGACCCTTAGAACCCAGAAAACATGGCACAGGAGGAGATGCTTTTCTACCTTAGCTGTGACTGCATAGCCCCAAATTAACATAAACCAACCTCCAGGCGGCACCTGGAGATCTCCAGCTATTAAAACTGATGTCCAGATAATCAAGATCAGTTCTCCTGGAGACAATGGTTGCTTTGGGCAGTGGATTCTATGGCCACAGTCGGGACACTCATCTGGAGCTACCTTCTAGCTCTCATTGTATTTCTTCCCACATCGAGCATTACTCCTAGTATCGTATATTTCTGAATCACTGAGCATTAATGCAGGATGCACAGGCAGAGGTACAACTAACTTAGCAAACTCTATACACTCATGGTTTGACAGAGAATGCAAAGAAACAAAAACTTTACTATGTAAAGTCTTTAGTCACTACCGCAATTCGAAGGCCCTAACCTTGCCACCAGAATACTTTAAACTTCAGAATCAACTGCACCAACTTATATAAAAAAAGGAGAAATGACTACATTAAAACCCAATGGGGAGAATTATATCATGCCACAACTCTACACAATTCCAAAAAGTTTTGGGCAATAGTCTCGGGTGCATTCCGGGCTGATGACCCCTCCATGTCTGTTACTTCTTCCTATGTCTGGTTCCAGCACTTTTGGCTCTATTCCATCAAGAACCTACTTCTGCTAAACCATTTGAGCTTTCTACAGCCGACTTACCTGACTGGCCTCCTGTGTTACTGGATGAAATCAAAGAACTAATTGTGCAGCTGAAATCAGAAAAGGCTTCTGACCCTGATGCCATCCCTTCCGAAATTTTAAAACTAAATCCAGACTGGTGGGCTTCCCCCCTTGCATCCCTGTTTACAATCATAGATAGAACTGGCATAATTCCCCTGGCATGGCTGAATGCAATAGTGGTCCCATTATACAAAAAAGGCGATTATACTAACCCTGGCAATTACAGGCTGATCAGCCTACTTTCCATTATTGGCAAGCTTTACGCTAAACACTTATTAGTCAAACTCAATCTTTGGATGCTGCATGAAAAAATTATAGGCCCTGAACAGCTGGGTTTCTGCAAAGGGAAGACCACTCTAGATCACTGTGTTATCTTATCCCATCTAGTAAATAATTACACCGTGTGAAATAATCAGAAATTTTGTTGCTTTTCTAGATTTAAGAGGTGCATTTGATTCAGTTGCCAGGGACCTTCTCTGGACCAAGTTAGACCAGCTAAATATGGACAAAAGACTTCTTATGCTTATTAAGAAATTATATACCACTAACACTTGTCAGATCAAGTGCTCGTTAGCAGGTGACTTGACACCA